CTCTACTGAATTCTAAGTAGAATATCTTCCTACCACGCATTCATTTTGAATTGGATTTGTGCTAAAAATTACTCAAAAACTACTTGAAATGCTACTAATTAGAGGTTTGCCCTTCACTGAAGAGAAAGAATTTGGTGCTTTTGAAGTGGCAGATCTGAATTCCATAATCATGACATTCACCAAGCCCGTCCATAAAGATGGTGTAACAACTGCACGCCAGCCCAAGTGGCCAATGTGGGTGGCTGATTTTGCAAGATTTGAGATAGTTTAGTGGTGTTGCAATGACAATATACAAATCGAACTGCAGCGTTTTACAACTGCCAATTATTTTTACATTTTTAAACAGGTTGGTAGTCTGTCCTCAGTTATGGTGAAAGGAATCAGGGGAACCAAGTGACCCAATTAAGTAAAAAAAAAAAACAACAAGTCACAACATTCTGGTCATAAATACAAGATTTTTGAATATGAAAAATGTTTTGGAATTCTGCAGGATGAAAAGACCTTTTAATTTTTATGAAGCTGTGAAGAATGAGGTGGAGTGGATCAAGTAATTGGAAGTCCTCAAAAATTCTGTATTTATGTATTAGGTGGAATTGTCCCATGCTGCACATTGAGAAAGCTTCCCCAGCTTCATTTAGAGCAGGTTTTTTTCAGCTGTCAAGAGCAGTTAAACTTTTTAAAAGGCAGTTTAATCTCCCATGGGAAATATCAGGAATGCAGGGTTCACATTTCTATATGTAATCTGCAAACAGATATGACAATAATTGGAAATGTGTGTACACACAAAAAAAAAAAAATGGGGCAGTTGAATGAGGGTGGTACACCACCTCAAGCAGACAATGACATCTACCATCTAACCACAGTCTCAACAAGAGCATAAGGCACAAATGCACCCCCCTAATGGAAAACTGCATGGAAGTGTGTATTTGTCAAGCGTGATGCAGGGCCTAGGACAACTTCCACAGCCCACTATACTGTACCCAACAATTCATGGCTTACTGTGTTTAGACTCATAAAATACAAGTGGCACAGAGTAGTATTATAGACCTTGACAAATGGGAAACTAATATCTAGATTTTCAAGGGACAGTGGACATCTAGCAGCCTCTGTACCTAGAGACCACAGAGTGGCTGGACAGAGAGACCCAAAGGTACGCTTAAAAAGCCAAATGAGTATGTATCCGATAAAAACAGACTAGCTCAATCTGCCTCAAGGGGAAATAGCAAGGAAGTAAACCCCCCATGGTCATTAGAGATGTACCAGATTTACTTGTAAATGTGAAAGTCCATGAAACCACATATACTGCTCATTACTACCCATGGCAGAATAATGGTCTAGCTCAGGTGATGACATACAGCTTGGTTAAGCAAGTTGCCCAAAAACTTCACAGGCGCTCTGTGATAGACATGGCCTGCAGCAATCTCATGAGTTTCATGTGGGGACACGTAATTTGAATTCCCTCTTCAGCTACTGTTTCTATCACTTTTCCCTTCCTCCCACTCCATCAGCCGTCCTTAGCCTTGCTCATCCTAGCTAACAAGAGCTAGCATGCACCACTCACATGAGTTACATGGCTTCTCCCTTTCAAACCCAGGTTGGATGAGCAGAACATCAGGACCACAGAGTGTCCCTTGCCTCTGTTCTGGTACCTGGCATGTGAATATGGTAGGTCCAGAGCTGTACCACCACATTTGTGTCATGACTGCAAGTAGACATGCCGACGTTAGGAGGCTCTAATAGGAGGGGAAGGGAGGGAGGGGGCTATAGCACCCTTCATTCTCCTGGTAAATCTGTGCCTACAGGGTGCATGGTGGGTTTCGTGCCCTTCTGTGGTGTTTCACCCACTTCCACCAGCTTTTGATTTTGAGAATGAGCTAGGTTTTCTCTCCCTTGGATACTGAAGCAAGGGCTTTTGCAGAATAAACATTAATTTCTGTGACTCCTCTCCATCTGATCTATTCTGACTGCAAGTTTTCCAGGGACAGAAACTCTTTGTCATGTCTCTGGACAGGCTCACCACGAATCTCAGGTTTGGAGTATAGCTTCCACATGATATGACACCATGAAAAAAGGAACTTATATAGTTATATAGGTCCTTAAGAAACCTTATTCCATTGCAGTGTTTGTGCAAACTATTTCCATTTTGTTCCTGTATACTTTGAAGTTTCTCTTCCAAATTAGAAAAAATCATCCAGAACTATAACTCCTTTGGGTGTGCACCTGCAAAAATATGTGCCTTGCAATAGCTTGTTGCTCGCTCATGAACACAAAACAGATTTCTGTTCCCATTGGAAAAGAACACTATGCATCATAAAGTACCTGAGAAGCAACTTAAGCTGTCATCAGCAAAAACATCTGCTCCCAGTACTCATCCCAGTGACTTCAGGCACAGGGGGAAGCTGTTGAATGAAATACTTTGGGAAAGGGACAGTGAAGGATTACAGGCCAAACGGAAGACAAAACAGGAACAATATCAGAATATGCTTCAGAGCTGAGGGCAGAGACAACTTTTGGGGCCCGTCTTTGGCAGTTCCCATGGAAAACAATGCCATTTTCTACTGGAGTAACTAGGAAGGGGAATGCAGTACCCGCAGGTTAGTAAGAAAAACATTCTGATCATCCTGATGGGAGTGGGGGAGATACTTCTCCAGAAGAAACAGCTGTCTGCAAACAGCAAATAGTTTCTCTCTCTTCAAAGGTTACTGTTTGGACCCTGCAGGATGCCAGAGAAGTTGCTGGAGTCCCACTGAAATGGGCATTTCTTCTTGCCCATAAAAAGGGTCGTGAGAGCACTGTCAGGGCTTCCTTTCTCCACAGCCACAGAGACTCCGTTTTTACAGGGGGGAAAAAGAAAGGGACAAAGAGAGGGAGTAATTGGCAAAATACAATAAGCTGCTGAGTGCCAGAGGGGAGCTGGGTCAGATGTAAATTTGAAAGTTTATGGACTGGCTTCCTTGCCAATTTGTGATGGAGGAAAGGAGAAGGGGGATGAAGGAGGAAAGGTTTTGCAGAGCAGTAAATCTACATCTTTTTTGTTTATTACAGGGGTGGTGAAAATTGCAGAGGAAAGTCATTTGTCAGAAAAAGATGATGGCTAAGGATGCTGAGCAAGGGAAAGCTTAAGAATGTGGGTGACCTAGTGGTTTGAGGCCCACAGCTAAGTTAACAAGGCTTTAGAGGCAATTGCAACAGCCAATAACAGGTCAGGTGGATGAAAAGGCTATTAGAAAACAAGAATACAAGCAGGGGAAGATACTGCACTGACGGGAAGACTTCACTCATACACAAATTGAGGGGCAAATCCAAAGAGAAATGCTAAAACCCTTGTGCCACCCAGTGGAGTAGCAGGCATCCAGTAATGCTGAGGATTTCACCATCGCCTGAAGGCAGGTATTTGTGAGCTGATGACATCCTCTACCCCAACGCTCATATAGCCCATACCAACATGGGGTATGTCTGCGTGAGCTGTATGGGGAGGCAGATGTACAGTGGTGCTTCACTCAGGGCTTTGCCCCTTGAATCTGAGGTAATAAGCTGAGAGATATTTCAGGATTTTTGCCCAGCACAGTATTTTATCTTCTAGTCACAATCACACTAGGCCCACCTGGTGGGCAGGACCTTTTGGGTCAGCAGGGAGATATAGTCCTCCAGTTGTAACCTGCTTCAGCCTTGCACAGAGAAGATAATCTGTAGTGGCTGAACCCCACTGCCAGCATCGTGAAGAGGGCAGGCGGACAAACCAACCCCATCCCTGTGCCTTAAAGTAATGAAGTTCTGATCTGCCCAGGTCTACCACCCAGCTCTGTCCTCCAGGGCTTTATAGACTCCTGACAGCCTCATAAACTTTGCCTTGTGAGGCTACTCCAGTTCATGTTGGCAGGAATAGTCTCCTAAATCCTCCCTGCTTTCTTCCTACTTCCATGAAGTAGAACAGAACTTCAAAGGGAGAGACATGACATCAAACGAATTTATGCCAACTTACCGTTACTGAGGGAATGCACATAGGAATCTCCACTCCCAAATACAGCTTCAAAGCTTGTTTCCAGTGTTTGGGAGAAAACCAAACCAAACCAAAACACCAAACCGCCCGCC